GGGGGGGAGAAGTGTGCATTTAGAAAACATCATTTTGAGATACTTTTTGAAGAATACAAAAGCGCCAGTTTCTAGTTAGTAAATAACAGTAAAAACTGTAATATTGTCCAATTTGGGGTAGGGGACTATATGTCGCCGAAAAAGGGCGGTCCCCGCGGTCATTTGCGACAAATACGCGCCCTTGTACATGCGCGGACATGCGTTCCTGCAGGGAATCCACGCGGGACTTTTCAAATTCGGCGACATATAGTCCTCCACCCTCCAATTTGTGCTTTTTGTACTTTAGCTTTAAGTGATGATCAGAGCTCGGCACGAGCTGGCACCAGGGAATTTTTGAAACGAAGTCCCCCTTGATTTTCGCTAAGTTTTACGAACTCCCCCTTGACCCTAAACCCTAAACCTAGAAAACCTTCCAAAAAACGAAACGTCGACTAAAAAAACGTCGCAATTTGTCGACAAAAACGATATCCCCTTTGCTTTTTGTCCCAAGAACGATACCCATCTTGCCCCGTGTCAGCTAGTACCAGGCCCTGCTGATGATGTATGCGGAATTTTTGGTATTGAAAGAATCTATGGGTAGAAAATGTTGTAAATAATTTCTAATTCAAAGTTTGTGCGCACTTCATGAGCAACAATTTGGCACATATGCATCTTTTATAACTCGATGTGTGCACATCCAATCGCTATCCACCGCAGACTATTCATAGTACACCCCAATGTGCCGTTTTTCAGCTCAATGCGAGATTGTAAAAGCACAAAAACATCATTTTGCATTCTGCTGTACTATTGCAGAGCAACTTCTTTATCCGATTTTATTTCTCATCGCCATCAATCATTAGTTTACACTATTCTTACAATGTTATCTTGCTTTTTTATCCAAAACTCATACGCGTAGAACAAATTGCGTAGTTTTTGGGACTCGGTGCACCTGACTATAAATTTGGCTTATTCTGGCAAAAGTTAGCTCTGGTTTTGGAGCAGTTATCTATCCAACATAGCGCAAATCTTGAAAAATTGTATCGACTTTTATCTCCTTCTCTCTCCTTCCACCTCTTTCCTCTTTCCTCCTACCTGTAACCCCACTGCCTCTTTTCTATTTATCGGACAATCTTTCTATAGTTTGATTTGTATCAGTTCCTCTTTTGCTAACCTAATTTTGTTTGTACTATAGAGTTGTAATCATCATCTCATGTCGTTAGGAAGAAAAGAATGTTTAACAAGAGTATCTAATAATTTTGTAGCTGAAATTCTGGTGTAGCTGAGACAATCCCACGTCCTTCTGCATTTACACTTCTCTGCAAGAGAAAGGGCATCATATCTTCTTAATCACACTTGCTAGATAAGTACTACTTAGGTTTCAATTCCTATCTATAGCTCCTTTTTTGTAAATTTATTTGAGGTGTCCTGAAAGTATGTATGCACTTCTAATCGTTATCTCATCTGCTTAAATGTTTCACATGGTCATCAAGGTATTGCATGAAGAGCTGGGTTCAGCTCCAAATTACTGTAGGATTACGGTAGCAAGTTCCAACTGACTACTGAAAGTTATCTTACTTGAGGAAAAACTCCGATATTGTTTTCTCATATGAAATCAGCAACATTCATCTCAGTCATAGACTTTTCAGATTTTCGGGAAGCAAGTTTTGGATTTTGGTAGTACCAAATCTGTTGAAATTACTTAAACCATACGGTAACTGCTGATTTATGATAATGAAAAAGCAGTGACTTCCTCAGGATTCCCGTTGGGGGGGGGGGGGGAATTTTTTTCGAATATAGGTGCGACGCACTCCAAAAAAATTTTTGGGATACTTCTCAAGATTCTTGTGGGCCCATAACCCCAATTTTGTAGAAAAAGGAGGCGTGACAGCTGCCACATCCCCGAAATTTTTTTCATAGGACTAATCTGAAAACTTATCTCAGTTTACAAAATAAACAGTCACTTGCACAGTTTTATGCACCTGTAAGTAACCTTCAAAAGTTTCGCGACCCATCGGGAAGGGGTTGTGAGAAAGCTCTAATTTCTTTTTTTTTTCATTTGATTTACAGTTTACAAGTTCTATACATCCTTATGTAATAAATTTGAGCCCAGATTAGTTCATTTGCCTCCTGTCAGTAACGGAAATGTAGGATTAGACCAATGACATACTAGTAATGAACTGATGATGAATGTTCGTAATGTGACTGGTGATCTCCCAGCAACGCTTCAAACACCGTAAAGTGGATGCGGCTCGAAAAAAATTGACCAGTGCGTCCTTAACTTTGCCAGTAATTGGATCTTTCGGCTTTGGATGCACTATAGAAATTTGAAATTTTGTGTTTTTCAATGGTCATGTACCTGAACCTAATAAAAACAATATTTTGTGAAGTTAGAAAGTCGAAGTGAAATTACTGGAGGCTATGCTATTTCTCGTGAAAAAAACACTTCCTGTATTATGAAATGTTCTTGTCTTTGCTTTCCGTTTCCAAAAAAGTCATATCGCGTGATTCCTAATAGGCAAGAAACCCCTATATCTTTTTTGACTATCTCACTTTTCGTGTCAAATTCCTCTGCTGTTATTGCATCTCTCTGATTGAATTCAAACGTCATCACTATAGAAGACTGCTGTCTTGAGGGGGGGGGGGGGGGAGTAGGGGAGCAAAATTTGAGCTCATCTCAAAAGTCGTAATGCTGTAAGACCTACCAGAATGAGTATTTTACTGTACTGGGCAAAATGCCAAGTTATACTTTAGCATCTCTACGGAGAAATCGTTTGATAATTTTTTTTTTTTGAAATCCCTGAAGTTTTTTTCTGAAAAGGTGAAATCATGTCCCTTTCCCAAAAAACTAATAGATTCAAAAAAACTTAGTACAAAAAGCTTGCTTTTTTCTTAGCTAAGCATGAGATTGTATCAGATTTCTATTCATTTGTAACTTTATCCACACTCAGACTGCATATAAAATCAGCTGTTCTCTCTGATTTTTCTATTTTTGGACTCTATTTTTGCATAATTGAGGAGCTCTCAACGTCATTAGAACTTTTATTTTGTGCTTGCCTAGACATATCAGGTGTTTGATACTGGCTTGAAAACAACAGAAGTCCTATTACATGGAATTTTATGACTGTCAAGTGGTCATCGTAGCCGCATAATTAATCTCGCGAATAACTCGTAAATTCGCCTGGTGCGTTTCTCTACTAGTTTTAGGGAAAACACATTTTTCTTCTTAGGCGCGATAGTTATTCCACTAAAGTATTTGGAGGTGATTGACGAAAAAAAATTGCTTGGTTGGCGAAAACTCAATTTATGTGTCAAACGAAAATTTATACGCTTCCATTGAGCAGAACTGGAGTCGAAGCTTTAAATAATCAGTAATAGATAGTCCTAAAACCGCTTTTTTGAGGGGACCTTTTCTTGATTTTTCTTGCTTATTTCGAACTAACTGGCTTTTCCGGTCCAGCCCGGGTCACCGTTCAGGAGAATGGCCAAACCACACTTTGTCTCTCCTCCCTCCTTTTTTCGGTTCGGCCATACGCTTTTTTTGCAGTCTCGATACTGCACTGAAGACCCCTCTCCCTTACCCTCCTGCCTGAGCTTACCTCGAGGTGACTTATTGGAGTAACTGCATTTTCTACACTTTAGATTGAGATGAACTTTACTGCGTTGCCTGTCGCCAAAATGTGCATGGGGTTTGATAGTGGCTGGTAACCATTTTCATTGCAAAGTGCCAAAAATCAATAAATCAATAGAACGACCCAGCGAATCGCTTTGAAAAGTAGCCTAAAACCATCTACGGGGTCGAAATCTTATGTTTGCAAAGTCTCAGCTCAATCGGTTCATGCGCATAGAAGTCTAAAAAAACATACGGTCAAGATTTGCACAAACTTTGACTTTTATATAGACATGGATTACAGGGTATTTTGTACTAAGCCTGGAACATTCTTACTGCTAACAATGTTTCTATCTGCGCAGTCTTTTTGATTTTTCTTTTTAAAGGATATAGTCGTTTTCAGGATATGAAACATGTATTTCGTTCTTCTCAGTACAGACCTCACGCATCACTTGTTGAAAATTGCGCATCAACTACTCAAAAAGCAAACCTTCACAGAAATTCTTAAAAATTGTTTTACGTTTGCGAGGTCTAATTGAGCCAGTTCCATTTCAGGCACATTGCCATGGTTCAGGTCACTTGATTGTCGTACTTCGTTTCCCATGTTATTCTCTTATTATTCGTCTCATTCATTTTCTCATTCCTGACCCGCTCTTCATTACCTTGTGGAATAATTCGGTGAAATTTTGTTCCCTTTATCTCCATCATTGATTCATTCGTTCATTCACTTATCTATTCATTCGTTCGTTCATTTATGTATTCAATCATTCATTCATTCCACTCATTCATTCGTGTTATTCACTTCATTCATTCCATTTCAATTGTTTCATCGAAGGAAGTGAAACGAAGGAAATTGAAAGGATAGATCAAATGAAAAATTCAGTCTATTAATTCATTCATTCACTCATTCATTCATCCATTCATTCACTCCGTTTATTCATTCATTCCTTTATTCCGTTCATTCATGCATTGCGTTCATTCATTCAATCATTCATTTATCCACCCACTCAACCATTCTCCTTGCCTAATTCCTATTCTATCCTTAAAGGCGTGCTCTTCTACCTTCAAGGAGAGCTTTTTTTGAGCCTACGATCTTCGTCATATTCCGCCACGGACCACCTCCTTCGAGACGAGTTGTATAGATGAAACGCTCGGTTTTAATGAAGCTTGACAAATCGTAGTCAACGTTCGTTCTGCTCCCGTAGTTGCTTCACTCCCTAGTTTTATTGTTCTCTGCTGCGCGATGCTGAATAATTCGAACAACCTTGCTCATTTAAGGTTCGGCTACGTCAAGAACTTTGTTAGTGTCTTTCAGCTTCCTTCTTTTTACTGCTTTTTAACACGAACGAAATTTGATATGCTCCGCCTATTGTAAACATGATTACTGTAAACTATTACTTATACAGTGTCTTTCAGTGAATAGCTCTGAGATGGCATGTATCTGCCTCTGATTTTCTTGTACTGGCACATTGACCTCTGCACTGCACAAACGTCGGATCTACGGGCAAATCTAGTGGCCGGACATTCTCGAAAAACCTTTCGACCAGCATACGACGACGCATTCTCTTCAACTGGGGATCTTGAGGTGCGAAAATTCTTTCGTTTTCTCAGCTTCTAAGCAAATGTCACATAAAATTGATTGAAAGTATATGTTTAGTTTCCAAGTTCCCTCTGTTTTGAATTCTTCGTAAATATTTTGTGTTCTTTTTGAGCCGTACAGGTTGATAGGTGGTCCTTTATTAGTCAGTATCAACGACCTTACGTTTCAACGCTTTCGTCTTCGTCAGAGGCCTAGAATGGTTCTGAGCTTCATCAGTGAGTCCAGCCCACCAAATGTCTCCCTTAGTTCTGCCAGTTTTCGGCCTTCACCCAATCTAGTTGCCACAAAATTGCGAAAGCAATGACATACCAGGAAACACCGCTTCGTCATCAGATGTCCGTACCGGAAGGAGACAGTCGCGACGGACGAATGAGTTACACTGCATTGCATGGTAAATGATCTACAGTCAAACTCACATAATGATATGAACGGGAGAAATTCAGCGGTTATTGATAGACATTCGTTTTTGTTATTCTTTCTGGATTCTTTGCAGAAATCCACAAGGCTTCCATAGCTTTTCTAGCCGAGATCTTCTCTTCAAATGTTAGAATCTTGACTTTAATGTCAAAATCTTTATCACCATGCGCCTCGCGCCTATGTCTGCCAAGCGTTGAAGCCATGTTCTTTCGCCTTTTATCTGCAAGATGTTCTTTTACGCGAATGCTAGGCATTCTTCCTGTTTCCCCAATGTAACATGCGTTGCAGCTCAAACACTCGAGTTGATACACAAGTCCCATCTTTGCGCAGTCTCCCAATCTCCCGTGCGGACAAACAACGCATTGCTCAGATATACAGTAATGATCGTAGAGCCTATTTCGCACCAGCTGTTTTTTGATGTTGTCTTGGGATGTTGACTAACATAACATCATTTTGCAGCTGCGCATGAATGATGCATTTTTGAATGGCCGCGCTGATCTTATCAGAGATGAAAGGCAGGCAAAGTGGACTGTTTTCAGCTCGGTGCTCACCACTTTTTGGATGTTGAATATGTGGTGAGGGATGGTAGCCATTGCCGCAAGCAATTTGGGTAGCCAACTTTCGTGATTCGCGCCGTTCATTCTCTCCGCTGCATGCGTCTGCGTTGCCGTTCTGAACAAATTCCTAAGGACAGCACGTTTGACAGATGCAGGGTGTGCGGATTTGACGTTAATGAGGATGTTTTTGGAGCTTTCCTTGCGGTACCACTTGATGCTTACAATGCCATCGGTCAACTTTTCAAACTGTGTGGATGTCACAACACAGCAATCATCGATGTAACGACAATACAGCAGTGACATTCGCGCTAGCACCGGCTCTTCGATCTTATTCATGAAGTATATGGCAAGAACTGGTGCTAGTCTTTGACCCATAGCTAATCCACGTATCTGGGAGTAGTAAGTCCCAGACCATCTGAAGATGTTACAACTCAGACACTCGCTTGGTTCTTGCAAATGGTTCTGTGCGTCTATCAATAAGTGATAAGGGTGACGAATTTGTGGTTACTCCACAGGAGTTGGATCGTCGGATAACAGCTGCTTATCTCGCAGACGCTACAACTATAGTCTCTGAGAAAGAATGCAAGCCCAATGTAAAAGACTTAACAACGTGTGGAGTGCAATAGGAAGATCTGTTGGGTATCCTGACAGATTCGTTAGTAGATTGAAAGTAACAAGTCCGTGTTGCCCAGTCTTTTACAGCCTTTTCAAAACGCATAAGCTTTCCTTGCGCGAACTACATTCAATGTCACCGGAGACTTATAAGATCAGGCCAATTGTTAGTTGCGTGGGCGGTCCCGCTGATCGAATATCCTGGTTTCTGAACAAAATTGTGAGCCAACTGTTAATGAAAATACCAGCGCATTTAACCAACTCCCGTACGTTCATCGAACAGCTCCGCAAAGCTAAGTTTGATTCGAGCGCAGTAATAGAGTCGTATGACGTAACGTCTCTTTACACTAATGTGCAGAACGACCAAGCTTTGCAAGCGCTATCGGAAATGTTGGATGAGTATGCTGGCACGATAAATATGTTTGGACTCAGCAAGGCAAACGCGATGGCCCTAGTAAGCGAGTGTCTGAGTTGTAACATCTTCAGATGGTCTGGGACTTACTACTCCCAGATACGTGGATTAGCTATGGGCCAAAGACTAGCACCAGTTCTTGCCATATGCTTCATGAATAAGATCGAAGACCCGGTGCTAGCGCGAATGTCACTGCTGTATTGTCGTTACATCGATGATTGCTGTGTTGTGACATCCACACAGTTTGAAATGGACAAGCGTTACGATTTTTTTCAGATTTTGAATCAGCAATCACGATATATCAGGTTCACACGTGAGACACCACACGACGGATGGCTGCCTTATCTGAATGCACAGATAAAGTTGACCGATGGCATTGTAAGCATCAAGTGGTACCGCAAGGAAAGCTCCAAAAACATCCTCATTAACGTCAAATCCGCACACCTTGCATCTGTCAAACGTGCTGTCCTTAGGAATTTGTTCAGAACGGCAACGCAGACGCATGCAGCGGAGAGAATGAACGGCGCGAATCACGAAAGTTGGCTACCCAAATTGCTTGTGGCAATGGCTACCATCCCTCACCACATATTCAACATCCAAAAAGTGGTGAGCACCGAGCTGAAAACAGACTTCCACTTTGCCTGCCTTTCATCTCTGATAAGATCAGCGAACATCTTGCAGATAAAAGGCGAAAGAACATGGCTTCAACGCTTGGCAGACATAGGCGCGAGGCGCATGGTGATAAAAATTTTGACATTAAAGTCAAGATTCTAACATTTGAAGAGAAGATCTCGGCTAGGAAAGCTATGGAAGCCTTGTGGATTTCTGCAAAGAATCCAGAAAGAATAACAAAAACGAATGTCTATCAATAACCGCTGAATTTCTCCCGTTCATATCATTATGTGAGTTTGACTGTAGATCATTTACCATGCAATGCAGTGTAACTCATTCGTCCGTCGCGACTGTCTCCTTCCGGTACGGACATCTGATGACGAAGCGGTGTTCCCTGGTATGTCATTGCTTTCGCAATTTTGTGGCAACTAGATTGGGTGAAGGCCGAAAACTGGCAGAACTAAGGGAGACATTTGGTGGGCTGGACTCACTGATGAAGCTCAGAACCATTCTAGGTCTTTGACGAAGACGAAAGCGTTGAAACGTAAGGTCGTTGATACTGACTAATAAAGGACCACCTATCAACCTGTACGGCTCAAAAAGAACACAAAGTATATGTTTAATTAGAACTAGCATCTTCATACTTTTCCTCTTACAGTTAATAGCCAATAAGAAACTCGGGATGTGATTGGCCAGACTTCCACAAGATTTCACTTTTTGTTGACTTGAGCGACAAGAGGGTATCGGAAGAATTTCCGTGATAGAACAAAGTGTTTGTTTATCGTGTCTACCAACGCAAGTACTTTTTTCAAAAATTCAATCAAATTCAAGAATTTTGCGTCGGCTTTATTTTTGTTTCCATCACTGATTCAAAATTTTGTATTTTTGGATACCGACCCTTACTCTCCTTTTGTCATTCAGTCACAAGAGTGATTCAGTTATTTCTGGAGCTTCACAGCAATAATTACCATTAAGCGTAGACAGAGCTGGTCCGCTTGCACAGTTTTCCCCGGGATTATATCTTGTAACGATAATTCTTCCATTGCTATTTGGAAAAAATGTGAAAGCTATGTAAGAAGTTTTTAGCTGTAAAAGTACTTTTTTCGCATTAGAGTCACATTTTTTGAAATTAGCATCGTGTTCAGTTCCAGAAACCGCTTGACAAAGGTGGTGAAGTAGCCGAACCGCTGAAGAAGTTTACCTCAGATTTTCTTTCGTCTGCCAGAGGGAATCTCGAACACGGGTGAGTGAGCAGAGGTTTTTTTCTTCGATAGGAACCTATGAAGTGAATTTTGGAAACATTATCATATGTACACGTGCAAATTTTCGTTCTTTCTTGAAGGTGACAAAGTTTCGTGATTTTTGATTGTTCGACTCTCTACGAACCTCGGCATGACGTAAATGTTGTACTTCTTCATATAAACCGCGCTCGAGATTGATAACAATCATTCGTTGGTTGGTTGACGTTTCGGCAGATAGAGAGAGAGGACTGTATGTCGTCGAAAGGGGGCGGCTCCCGCGGCCAGTTGCAACAAATAAGCTTCCTTGCACATCCATGGAGGTGCATTTTCGCAAGAAGTCCGAACGGAACCCATCCAGTGACGACATATAGTCCTCCACCTTCAGATCCTGGAAAGGACAAAACGACCTGCAACCCACTCGATCGAATGTCTTTGCAGTTTAAGCAAAGCTCTAAGACTCTGTTTGTTCAGCTGTTTGTTTTGTTTGTTTGTTTGCGGCTTATATAGACAACGACAATATCTAGTGTTTGTTAATGCCGTCCAACAAGTGTTTTCGTTTTTGCAGCAAATGATGCAAAAAACTCGATCAAATTTCACATTACGTGCATAGCCGCTAATTGAATTGCTCACACGCAAGTGAGAAGTTTTTACAAACATCACGCCTCTTTCTCAATCGCTACCAAATGCGCTAGCCAACTAAAAAACGAGATTTGAGCTTTTGTGATGAAAAAAATTTTTTTTACATATCAAATTTCATGAGAGTGAAATAAGGTATACAAGCACAACAGATTTTTTATATAGTCTAGACATGCCAATTATCGACAAAGAATCTCAAATGTTGATTATTATTATCTGATACAATCTTTAATGCTTAAAAAAACCTGCTGAAAACTAGTCAATTGAGCTAGTGTATCCGGCAGTTTCACATACCGAAGGCAAGAAGTGAGATAACACATATTTAATTTTGGAAAATTGAAAGTCTTTTCCTTTCACCAGCAAGATGGCTCCGTTTTGAGCGGATTGTTGAAGCTAATCGCAAAGTACTGGTCGCAGGAAACAAAGATATAGTTAGGGGTTTGTTGAGTAGGCAAATTGGCAAAATGAATTGGCAAAATTTTCTCAGAAAAAAACTTTGAAACCCTTGTTATGTTATTGAAAAAAGCTTTTTTTCAGTGAAGAAAACGTTTTCAAAACTCTCTGGTACGATCCCAGTTACAAAATCCACGACCTTTGTGAGGAGTCCAACTCGGGAAAGCAAACAAGATATGGGCAACTGATATGGTGAGAAAATTGATAATTCTTTTTTAACGCTTTTCGTTATGGAGATGGTCGTATTGGTGCGAATATTCAGTAAACAAGCAAAACTAAACATAGACCGTAATGAATGATTGCAGGACAGAAACAGGCGATCGTCTTCTCAAGATAATCGGTAACGGAGTGGTAAAGGATGGTTATAATATGTTTCTTGCTCCGGGTCAAGCCCATGGTAAGTTTCTTTGAAAATTAGGTGTCCGCAATAAGTACTGGTCCTAGGTCGACAAACAGAGGTGCATGTTGCGGTTTACATCGAATCCATGTCCTCCTTCAAAGCGCAGACAATGGTACGTTATCACTTTGTTATCATTTTATTAGGATGTAAATTAAGTTTTGCAGCTCTCTTCCTAACTTTACTCTATTTGTATTTTGCGCATTCAAACTTTGGCATTGGATAAAACGTAATGCGTTCTACAGTCGTGCGCAAACTTTATGAATTTTGAGGAAGAATTAGAAAAATTAGAGGCGTTTATTGAAACTAATGAATTCCGAGAGTTTTCGGGATTTCAAGCCAAAATTTTAATGAAGCCGTTAGCGACCTAAACCACGCAAAATGATTTCGAATTGTGTATGAATTATTGTTGAAGGTTGATTTAGTTTACTAGATAAAAAAGAAATAGAGAGAGACGCCCTCACAAAGTTGAACGAGCCGCTGTATTCAACTGCTGGGGACGACCGTTGATGACCAAGGGGTTGAAACCTCAAAACTCGCCGAGACTTCGCATATTGGGGTTATTTGACCGGAAAAACACGAATATTCACTTGTTGAATCAACTTTTTCTCAAATTAAGGTGAAACGTTAGACCGCATGCCTACAATAACCTTGTAAAAAAGCCCTTACCATGCAATTAGAGTACTGTTTTCGTGATCAACATGAATAACAAATAATGTTGTTAAAAATAACAATGTTGAATAATAAATTTGGTGCGCCTTGTTGCAAAAGAAGAAAGACATTAGAGTGATAGTAGTTGCAACCTAGTTTCTAACCTAATAATTGCTCATTGCATAATCATCTGTTAGGAAGAAGGTGAGCACGGAGTGGAGAAGAGGGGGAGGTATGGCTGTAAAGTTAAGTCAAGCCTTTCCAAAATGAGAGGTCTTATAAGGAGACAGAATTTAACGATATGTTCAAAAGATGTTTTTCATGTAAAGTGGCAACTTCTTTAAGCTATGCATTTACCAGCTAGCATTTGCGGCTCCATTTGGTCTTTGTCGAAACACCACTAGAATCACCATGCCTTCCTTTTGAATAACTGTCCTGTTTCGTTATTTGCCTTCCCCGCTAAGTTTTCTGAATTAGTATGCTCATTGCCTTTCTAAATCAGATCCCAGCATTCCACCTCTAAGTCGTCAGAAGTCAGTTTCAATGAACAAAGTGGATTATTTCCTACTTTCAGACTTGCTTCCCTATTCCAACTCCCGGACACCCAAAGTTTACAAAATACGTAATGATAGATACGATAGATAGTAACTATAGATGGTAACTCTACATACGTATACTCTGGGAATCAATATTCTTACTTACTTCTCCGTACCAATTTTCGATCCTGAATCAAAGCCTGCAGAAAATATATGAAATTCGTGGGTGCAGTTGGTATCTCTCAGCACCAATGTCCTTTTTATTATCAGCACCTCATTTACCCTTCTGTGCGAACTATCAAGTCCGAGCTCAATGATTGCAAAAAAAACCTGATGATTTTGACATAAGGAGAATGAAGATTAATATTGTATTCTTGATCAACATGCTCACTTAGCTCCCTGCGCTGAGTGTCAGTCTCGTAACTCAAAACTTGTTGGAAAATTGAAAATTGAGGGCGGAGAACAATAGGTCGCCGATAAGCTTCGCCCCCGCGGACAGCTAACACAAAGCAGAAATGGTGATGGCGCGTGGTTTGTTGCAAATGTGTCCACGCGGGACATCCCTTTTCGGCGACCGAATGCTCTCCCGACAGTTGTTATCGACTGTTATGAAGAGTAGCCTATGGTACTGCCCCGCCCTGAAGTGTGTGTGCGCAAAGTTGGTCCAGATCCATTCAGAGATAGAATTCTTATTTGGAAACCATTTGATTCAGCTGGCTTGGCTTCGGCAAAGGCGAAGCTTCGTGACCTACTTAAGGCTAGGTAATGATCAGAGAGCACTCGCGCGTGAGAGACGCAGGTGCGTCGCGGGCGCGAGCGGCCTCAATTAGATCACAAAACCCCGCCCTAACCGAGCCAAGCCAGTTGAATCAAAGGTTATGTAAATGCACACATACACATACTTGAGGTTCATTTATGAGCTTGAGAGAGTGCCAGTATAAAGATTGTAGGACTTCGAAGTGGACATGTACTTGGCTATGGGCTGGTTTGATCGACGCCTCGCACATAACTGTACACATCCCATTCTTGTCACAAGCAAGGTACCATACTGTTTCTTCTCTAATCCTTCATCCAGATTTTTTTTGGTTTTATAGGTGATTGCTGATAGAATGTGGCATCCAGATTTGTATTTTGTAAACTCCAAGTTCGCATATCTGCAAGAAGTGACCACTCCAAACTTTTTGGTCTTAGTGTATCCTGATGGGCTTATCTTCAAATCAATGCGGTAGGTTTTATTTCATGCTTACGGCTAATTTTGCTTTGGCATCTGGTGTAAACTACCGTCTTTTGATACTGTTTAGGCTAGACGTGACACTTAGCTGTATGATGGACCTGAAACTGTTTCCCATTGACCATCAAGAATGTCCATTGACAATTCAAAGCTGTAAGTTCAACTATTAGTTCATTTTAAAAGTAATTTCGCTTTTTTCAACCGGACTTGTGATGGAACAAAGGTTCCTGAAAGATCCTGGTAGCATTCGAGCAGAATTTTATCCTCTTCCCAGAAGTTGTGAAATTAATGCAGCATAATCAATGAGCTTTTGGAAAATCACGAAAGTCTGCGTTCCATGCTTTTTGAGATGCTCAAGTTTCACAATTTTTCTAAATTTTTACATCAATCCTCCGAAGGAGTCCAAGTAACGTTTCGATAGAGCAAACCTCTTAGGATATGGAGTAACTTTTTTCTCGTTTTTATAACTCGCCATAATTTCGTAAAAGATTTGTTATCAAAACTATCGAATTTTGAAAGGCTTAGGTCAACCACATTCGCATCAAAATCAATAAATCTTTGGAATTTAAACTTCCAAGAGAGTATTATGATTTAAAACTATATTGCAAAGCGAATTTGAGTTGACGGAATCGAAATACCCATTTTCGATTTTTTCGGGTAGAGCCCGGAACGCGCTCGAAAATGTGAATTATGATGATTTTATCCCCGAAAACTCCATGAAGGGAAAACAAAAAACATCCATTAGAAAGAGGAGAACAAGCTGCATAGAATGACGCTCGAGCTGCTTACCGTTTGATATTCTACGATGTTTGAGTTGGCCAAGGATGGAAATTGGTAGCACCAGTCAGAATTCTATCAAAAATTTTGAGGAGCTATGTGAAGGAGAAAAAAAAATTGTTTTGCTTGGACTCCTTCGGAGGATTGATGTAAAAATTTAGAAATTGTGAAACTTGAGCATCTCAAAAAGCGTAAATCGCAGACATTCATAGTTCTCCAAAACCTCATTGACTGTGCTGCAATAATTTTATAACCTTTAGAAAGAGGATGAAATTCTGCATCGATTGCTACCAAACGCTTAGAAATCTTTGTTCCATCACATGCGGCGTCTGTTTGAAAAAAGCGTAATTACTTTCGGAATGACCTAATATATAACGCGCTAAGCAAATTCATTCATTTTTAAATGATCATAACTTACAATGTCAATGAATCACTTAAGTTGCTTCTTTTATACGTGGTCCAAGGAACCTCTATTGTTCAAGACGGCTTCCATGGTGTTGGCTTTGATGAAAATAGAGAATTCTAAAGTTATTCAGAAGACTAAAAAATTTCGCTACAAAATGTAGCACTCAAATCTATGCTACAGCTACAGTCTAAAGGCGTTATAAACCGATTCTTCTTTTTTAGGAAGCGGAACATCCCAACGTATATACTTTGAATTTCATAGCAATGCAAAATGGTAAATGAAGAGCGTAGTTGTGATAAAATGAACAAATCCATAACAGTCGAATGCAAGAATTACATTGGTAGTACGTAAATATACATACGCAGAACAGCAAAATCTCAGATATTCACGTTTACCCACTTTTACAATATGGGTCTAGATTTTTGATTGTCCAGAATGTACTGAAAGACATCAGCAGAACTCTCGATCTTAGCTGAAATTAAAAAAAAACATACTTATGGAAGATGGTCGTATTGCCACGATCATTAAACCATTGACGAAGGAAAGAACAGTTTTTGAACGAGTGTTTCCGATACATTTAAAATACTTGCTGCAATTTTTTGCGAGGAGATATTTTCTAATTTTCAGTTGCTTACATCGAAGAAATTGTCAACCTCACATGGCATGTTGACCCTCCGTCTTTCCCGATTGGATCTAACGAAGAGATCAAGCTAAATGACATGACAATCACGAAGACGCGATATGAGAAATGTGCGGGCCCGTATCCGATGTTTCGCGGATCAGGTAAGCCTTTACAAATCAAACTAATTATTTCAAATGCAGCTTGTAAACCAAAATTGAAGGCTCTTCTCCATAAGAGACTTAGGTTATCCACCTATCCGAAATCAGCTTGTTAACAAAGTCTGAAAGTAACAGTAAAGTTACATGAACTTTCTCTTTACCATGTAGAAATGAATCTGCATTGCACACGCAGTATCAAACATATGAGGGTCCATCTGTCCGCTAGGGGGCGGCGGGGGGGGGAGTGCATACAGTTAGTGGTGGGATTATTTACTGGTAACAAAACTATTAGGTTGTCTCATAAATTTTTTCAATTTTGACTTTTTCTCGCCATAAGTCGCAAAGTTCTTTACCCTGATCAAAATGCAAGGTACCATTCGATAGAGCAAACAAGCTCTATAAGATGGCTTGCGAGTGTTTGCACCAGCTTCAGCATACTACGAGTTAGAAGCTGAAATCTGAGAACTTTTGAATGCTCAAAAAACTGAAAATCTTCTATAACTCTATCCAAAGAAAACCTACCGAATCCCAAATTCGCTCACGCATATACACTCCACATAAGACATTCATATGTGCCGTCGCTGTGTTTGTTTCTGTGTTAGAAAGCGAGAAAACAAAACTTTCAACCTTCCAAAAAGCGATGCTGCGCTTTTTCACATAGACAGATGTATACTATAGGCCTTCAGTAATACATCGGTAAGTTTCAGCTTCCTCAAAGCGCTAGTTCTTGAGATTTACCGAAATTAGCTTTTTTTGCTATGGTAATTTATGTTGAAATTAATATATCTTGGGAAGTAGAGCCTATAGAAAGCTGAAAATTTGTGGTCATACTTCTGAAGGCCTGTAGTATACATATGCCTGTGTGAAAATAGCGCAGCATCGCTTTTTTGAAAGCTTGAAAATCTTGGTTTTCTCTGTTTCTAGCACCGAAACAAGCACAGCGACGGCACATATGAATGTCTTATGTGGAGTGTATATGCGTGAGCGCGTTTGGGATTCGGAAGGTTTTCTTTGGACAGAGTTATAGAAGATTTTAAGTTTTTTGAGCACTTAAAAGTTCTCAGATTTCAGCTTCTAACTCGTAATATACTGAAGCTGGTGCGAACAGTCGCAAGCCGTCTTATAGAGTTTGTCTTGCTCTATCGAAGGTACCCTGCATTTTGGTCAGAGAAAGAACTGTGCGACTTTTTGCGGAAAAAAGTTAAAACTGAAAAAACTTATGAGACAACCTAATAGTATAAGTATACATGTACCCTCTACATTATAGGATTATGGGGGCTTGTGCGGTTCAAGTCTAAGCGACCGCCTTGCTTAAACTCTACGCATCTTTCGCATAAGTGTCCCTCAATCATTCCCACGCGCAATCATGCAATTTCGCGCTGGCCCGTGCCGCACGAGCCTCGATCACTCTTGATGATACAGAGGGTAGTAGAGAGGGTATTGGTCGCTTACGAACCGCTATATGACGGTGGACAAGCGGCATAAACACCAGCTAAATTTTGTTGAACAAGCATATTCAGGAAAGAGCGCATTCTTTTTTCACCATCCATTGCGAAACCACTTTTCATATTGCTTGACTCCGACTACCAGCTTGGTCTGACCTCTCCGACTGCGACGAATAGCAATATTTATAACTTTTTCTTCGATATTATAAGAACCAGGAACCGTAAATCTACAAAAACGGCTGAACATTTAAATTTCTATTAGGTCGATCCTAAAGTTCGTGATGTTTTTCATACCCATGCTCAAATCACTTAGAATAAAAATAGAGAGAAGCTGTAAGTACTATCCGATGCTTTTCTCCAAATTCCCTTAATGTCCGCTCAATAATCGGCAGGGATCTCCAACCCATGATTTTCACCCATCTTGAGTTTGGCTATTTTTTGAAATTTTCATTTTTAACTTTTGGACTAGCTCCGATAGCAGTTGAATAGAGAAACAAAATGCAGTATAATACAGTTTTTGACAACTCTAGCCGGCTTCTCAGATTTTTTGAAAATATTTTACTGATGCTAAAGTGCGGTTCATAATTATACGAACACCCCAAATTTTAGAAATTTCTGGACTTTTTGACAGAAACTCAACCCGTTGGTACCACGCGAAAGAGCACAACCGAGAACGGTATATGATCCATAAGAATGAAAATGGATGTCAATTTCGGGAGTGTTTTTGCGCCTAGTGCGAATTTTTAGCGGTTCATAATTATACGAACACCTCAAACAAAGGTCCATTTTTTATTCAAGATCGCGGTCGTTTGAGTCCAAATTTTTTGTAAAGCTACAGTAGCAAAGTCTGACGTGTCCGTTACACACTGAACCCAGTGCAGTTCAAAAAGAGGACCGTTACTTTTTTCAGAAGGCTCTAAATGCTTCTGGAGTGATTAGGCTCCAAAAACATCCGCTTTTCTGCGGTTTACGCGCTCTAATTAGCTTCTACCAAAGCTATGAGATAAAATAAGTTTTTTCGATGGGTATTTTGTCTGACGCTCAGAAAATCTTTGCGTTTTCGTGCTGTTTTTCAACCAAGTTCCAAGCTTACCACAGAGTTAGCACGATTTCGAGCCTCAAAACTCAGCTTCTGAAGTCGTACAATGAAGTTAGCATATAGTGTGTAGAAGTTCACAAGATTGTATATTTGGTTAGAAAAAATCAGCAGCGTTGAGCGTTTGTTTTGGCCACGCAGACGTCATTTCATCAAAAACACTGCTTTTACTATTGCATTCACACCTTTATTTGGTTTGTAGCTCCACAGCCTCAAGATCAGTTCCACAAAAAACCCAATAACTTTGGCACAGAAACATCATCATGTAAACAATGCAGCTGCTTCATATCAAATGTTTGCGCGAGAGAGAAGCTGAGTTTTGAGGCTCGAAATCGTGCTAACTCTGTGCTGAGGGTTGGAACTTGATTGAAAAACGGCACGAAAACGCAAAGATTTTCTGAGCGTCAGACAAAATACCCATCGAAAGAACTTATTTTATCTCATAGCTTTGGTAGAAGCTAATTAGAGCGCGTAACCGCAGAAGAATGGATGTTTTTGGAGCGCAATCACTTCAGAAGCATTTAAAGCCTTCTGGAAAAAGTAACGGTTCTCTTTTTGAACTGCACTGGGTTCAGTGTGTAACGGACACGTCAGACTTTGTCACTGTAGCTTTGCAAAAAATTTGGACTCAAATGACTGCAATCTTGAATAAAAAATGGACCGTTGTTTGAGGTGTTCGTATAATTATGAACCGCTAAAAATCCGCAGTAGGCGCTTAAACGCTCCTAAGATTGACATCCATTTCTATTCTTATGGATCATATACCGTTTTCGGCTGTGTTCTATCGCGTGGTACCAACGGCTTTTTGAGTTTCTCCCAAAAAGTTCAAAAACTTACAAAATTTTGGGTGTTCGTATAATTATGAACCGCACTTTATTGAAACCCATATATGGGCATTCCAATCCTCACAGAACAATAGATGAGAGCAACCAGGATGCAGCTTTTTCTCCTCTTTCTGATAAACTTCTTTTCTTCTTGAATATAATATATGAGTATAAAATCATTATGATTCTTGTATCCAGACTCGTTCCAGGCTGTACTCAGAAAATTCGGAATCCAATATTTTGAACCGCTAAACGCTCAGTTGCTTACTGAAATCAGCGTTAAGTAGTATGCTGTTTCAAGATGTAAACTATTTTTGGAAGCCTTAAATTACCGAAAATTTTTCAGTGTTTGAACCGATTGTGTTCACGACTTCGCAAAAGTAAGGGCTTTTGGAAGAAATATTTGAAGAAATACTGAAAAATTAGTTGATGGGGCCAAAATATTCATTGTATTGTACTTCAATTGTTCTATCCAACTGTTATCAAACTTAGCTCAAAAGTTGAAGTTGGAAATTCAAAATATAGCCAAACTCAAGATGGGTAAAAATCAAGGGTTGGCCGATTATTAAGCGGACATCGTAGGAATCTAAACAAGAACTTGACCGTTAGAAAGAGGAAGAAATTTTGCATCGGATAATGCTTACAGCTTTTCTCTATCTTTATTCTAAGTGGTTTGAGCATGGGTCTGAAAAACGGAACGAAATTTCAGATTGACCTAATATTATGAGAGCTACATTAGAAAACTATGTTTGCTCATAAAATAGGGTTAAAAACAAACAATGTGTATCTACTTTGCTTAGTATTTCTACTTATTACTAATCGACTTTCACTCGAAACACAAAAGATGCGACTTTTGAGATTTTCTCCTGTTAACCAATGTATGCCTACACTAACTCGTTTGCGTCCGTTTCAAATTTTGTAAGATGTCGCCAAATAAATTTCAAAGAATCCCAATCACTGGTCGGCTGTGTGATCGAGCCATTTGTAACTTACTATGAGAGTTTGCAGAACGCGCAAGAAGCCTTACGGTTTCACAATCAATATTAGTACAATCTTTATAATGGAGCAAACCTGCATCCAGAGATGTGCGATTCCTTGAGAATCTTTCCTCTATCCCTTCTATCAACGATCTTTTGATTGAATCATTGTCATTGTCGAACACAACCGAGTGAAAGTTTTACTTAAACGAAACACAAACGATTTAAAAGCTAAAAACAAGCTAAAAGCATAAAAACATCGCTCATCAGTGTACTTGAAAGTTATGCAACTTTGAAAATTATGAAAAAAGTAATTGTGCGGATGAGGTCGACTTCACTATCATTGGCTATCTTAGCAAGTTTTTTAGATCTTGCATGTAACTTGAGAAACAGCAACACACAAGGAGAGGCTGTTCACATTTGCATCTTTTGTTGCTTATGCCAATTTCTCACCAGCTAAACTTTCACTCATCTAAACATCTTCAGCATACAACAAGGAAGAATAATATTGTGGTGTGATTAGTCGTATGAACTTTTCCACCAGGCAAAGTAATGTTCTTGCTGAGTTTAGCCTATGTGAAGTGTGTTGCGAAGGTATCAATTTGTAGTATTTCTATAGTCTTTGTTTTAGGAGGTAATGCAGATAATGCCTCCGTGTTCACGGTAATTGCCAATCACCCACCTGCTTCACTTGTCATTTGTGCTTCAGCCTGTAGCGTGGTGCTGTTGGCAGCTCAAAAAGCTCTTGCAACTTTATCATCTCCGCATTTGATAAACACAAGGCTTTGTGCGCTTTAATGCGTACCTTTTATAGCCTTCACGTAAAAGTTAATTGTAACGTTTTCTCAACTTATTTACGGGAAGATGCCAAGAACATCGCCACTCCGCAGCTGCTGCAAATTCTAATGCTTCTTTTCCTAATTCACATGTGACCACTACTTCTCACAAACATTGTCTGCACTTACTAATAGTGAAAACTCTCTACAAATCGTGTGTAGTTCAAGTATTATTAACGCATGAATACTAATACCTGTGGTGCTAACAAATGTGAATGGATTTGAAGCAAATTAATGCTTATATTTTTTAGCACAATGGAGTTGTATCAGGGCATTCATCGTCATGAAACGGCTAGTGCTCTTCCACATTATCCAGACATATATACCTACAGGTTTGGATTGAGGCAGTACTAATATGTCTAAATTAGGCGTTACTTGCAGGCATGCTAGTTTCAATTTCTTGGATGTCTTTCTGGCTAGATCCTCGCGCATCTCCGGCAAGGATTACTCTTACAATCACGAGTTTGCTCACTCTAACTACAATGAGTAACGGCGCTAGACAGGACCTACCTCAGGTACTTCTATATTGCTTATGTGGTTTTGTGATCGTCTTGTTGAGAAATAATCACATTTAGGTCTCCTATATCAAAGCGTTGGATATCTGGTTGACGTTTTCACAGGCGCTCATATTCTTAGTTCTACTTGAATACGCATTCGTTAGCTTTTATGTAACGAAACGGGTTTTCGACTGTTCTCATCGAACATCCCACTTCCAGACTCAAAACATGTCCAATAATAATCATAAATTCGTAAGTATCATCACTTTTGATATGATTTGTTGTCGTATTCACTCTGTAGCCCTGAAGTGAAGCATCTAAACAGTATATGAAAACATAGATTTTGTGAAAGTTTACCTACCCTCGTATCTAAGCTGGAAAAATATCAAACACTTCTAGGACGACGAGCGGATACGTATAGATGATGCGGAATCCTACCCATTCGCTGTGAGTTACGGTTTGCACCCAAATCTTGCCACTCTGGGCTAACCCGCTTTCGCTTTTTCCTGTTATGTGCTTCTTTAACTTCAATAACATAACTCACTAGGGTTTACCGTTCCTCAATACAATCCTAATCGTCTTTCACTTCAGTGACCTTATCCTTTGTGTGTGCAACACTGCCCGGTTGTTTCAGCGTGACGAATCGCCACCACCTGCACCAAGACCTGAAAACGGAAAAGCGAAATCTGGATACACTCTCACCAAAGGCCTTACGGCGTGTATGAACCATACAGCGGTTCGTTGTTGTGTTTCTAAGGCACTTACTCCTCTGTTATCGAATTATATGTTTAGCTCTTAGCGCAACTGCAGCCTTCCATCCTTTAAAGCATGTCAAATTGCCTTATCTGAAAGAACTTTTTTGAAATGCTATTAGTAAATCCTAAATTTATCCGTTGGCGAAGGGATTGAAGCAGTAGAAACAAGCCAAAACTTCAGCAGAAATGATGATTTATGTAAACAGTTTTCGGTCTGATGGTTGAAATGGCTGCGTTTTTTTTTTTGAGACAAATCCACTGATTAAGACTAGTTGATAATTAGTTTGGAAAACTATAGTTCGCTGGATTTATGAGTGATTCTAAAAGAATCATCTATATAGAGTGGGGCTCGTCGAGCCCGTCGTATATATAGGGCATACCAACCTCCGGTCGTGGGTACACCGGGGTTAGGCATCGCGCGCGAACCGCGAGCGAAGGAGATTGCACTCCGAGCGCGGAAGCTGATATATATTACGCACACTTACGACTGGGATCAATTTCCTTTGCAGTTTTCGTTGTTTTCTTTCTTTTCATCATACATCTGCTTTCCTCCGATGTATTTGCTTGCCTACAAATTTGATTTTGTTCATGAAGCGAGGTATTTTTGAAGGAAAGTTCGGGACAATAAAATTGCATGTTGTTCTCTTCTCAAAATGAAGTTTTTAGTTTGAGCTTTTGTTTCAGGCGTGCGGAAATGAAAATGCATTTCCATCGCTATCGACAAAGTAGGTAGGAATCGTTGTTTCTCTTCTGGAGACAAGATTGTAGTGTTTTAGAGTCTTCCCAACTGAGTTTGACATAAAATTAACGATTCTTACCTGTTTTTCGATGGCGATGGGAATACATTTTCACTTATGCACGCCTGAAACGTTAGCTTAAACTAAGGACGTCATTCTGAAACGAGAACAACATGCAAAGTGTTTGTTCCGAAGCTTTCCTTCGGAAGTACGTCGCCCCATGAACTAAAATCAATTCAATAGACAAGGCAAGTACATCGGAGGAGAACAGACACGTGATGAGAAAGGAAGAAATAACGAAAACTGCAAAAGAAATTGATCCCAGTCGTGAGTGTGCGTGATATATATCAGGTTGTCCCAAAAGTTCTTGCGCTGGATTTTCAAAAAATCATAAATTCCTTGCCACTCAATGGATTTTCTTGATTTTAATTTCCTTTGAAAGAGGAAACCTTTCTCTTTACAACAGTACCTTTGCTATGAATTGGCGTTGGAAAGTTCTAGAGCTAGAGGCAATCGAAGAAAATTAGTCAAGATTGGCATTTTTCAAGCTGGATCACGAAAAATTCTGTATTTTTATTTGATAGAGAAAATTCTGCACTTTACAGCGGCACCATTTCCGTGATTTGAAACGAAAAAGATCGAGAGTTAGGAGCAAATAAAAAGAGTTCCATCAGTTTTGCAATTTTTGAGCATGCTCAAAAATCTTAGAAACGTCACAGAAAATGCGAGAAAGCCACAAACATGGGTTTTGTGATTTCGTTTTTCTAGCTGAGCAACTTTCGAGCTGATCGAGAGCAATTTTGATTCTCGTGAGAAACGCAGACCCGAAAATCCGAATAAATCACGAAAACAAAAAATGCTCTCGATTAGCTCGAAACTTGCTCAGCTAGAAAGAGGAGGTCACAAAACCCATGTTTGCGGCTTTTCCGCATTTTCTGTGACGTTTCTAGGCTTTTTTGAGCATGCTCAAAAATTGTGAAACTGATGGAATTCTTTTTATTTGCTCCTAACTCTCGATCTTTTTCGTTTCAAATCACGGGAGTGGTGCCGCTGTAATGTACAGAATTTTCCCTATCAAATAAAAATACTTCCAAAATTTTTCGTGATCCAGCTTAAAAAATGCCAATCTTGACTGATTTCCTTCAATTGCCTCTAGCTCTAGAACTTTCCAACGCCAATTCATAGCAAAGGTACTATTGTAAAGAGAAAGGTTTCCTCTTTTGAAAGAAATTAAAATCAAGAAAATCCGTTGAGTGGCAAGGAGTTTGTGGTTTTTTGAAAATCCGGCGCAAGAACTTTTGGGACAACCTAATATATATTAGGTTGAACCGAAAGTTCTGTCACACCATTTTCAAAAAATCATAACTTCTTTGCCTCGCAAGGATTTTGCGCAACTTAAATTTTGTCTGAAAGCGTAAGGCAAGTAGCTTTCAAGAGTTTCCTGAGGACTTTCCAAGGTGCTCAGGTTGCAGAGATAAAAATGAAGGCACGAAATCATCCGAAATTCGGAATTTTTAAGCAAGAATTCCAAAAATTCAGAAACTTTGCGATAAAATCCAGAAAAGCCATTATCTTATTTTTTCTTATATTTGATTACCATCTGAGCCAAGTTTGTGCTGATCGAGGTCTTCTTTCAGAAGTTATGAATTTTTGAAAAAAACTGCTAAAAAATCCCTTTCTTAAGAATTCTTAGGAAATTGATTTTTTGGCATTATTTTTCAAAAAATCATAACTTTTGAAAGAAGGGCTCTATCAGCGCAAACTTAACTCTGATAAAAATCAAATGTAAGAAAAATAAGATAATGGCTTTTGTGGATTCTATCGCACTGTATCTGAATTTCTAGAATTCTTGCTTAAAAATTCCGAATTTCGGATGATCTCGTTCTTTCATTTTTATCTCTGCCAACTGAGCATGTTGGAAACTTTCCAGGAAGCTTTTGGAAACTACATGCTTTACGCTTTCAGACAAAATTTGAATTGCGCAAAATCGTCGTGACCGAGAGAAGTTATGATTTTTAGAAAATGGTGCGACAGAACTTTCGGTTCAACCTAATATATATATATATCAGCTTCCGCACTCAGAGTGCAATCTCCTGGCCACATCTCCAGCCACATCTCTGGGGTACCCGGACCGATGGTGGTTGGTATGCCTTTTAGAGTCTCTTGGCAATAAGCTTAAACATTATATTCCAAATACCCAGTATCAGAGGCAACGCTTCGCTATCAGCATCACAGCACTCAAAGTGCTGCGAACTTTTTGAAATATGAGTGTTCTCTTGCAAAAACTGCAAAGTTTGTAATCGAGTTTTTCTTGAACCCTATCTCAAAGCTTCTTTGGCTGTATGCCTCGCTAGATGCTTCAAATAAAAAAAAACTGATGACTGTTTAGACAAAAGTTGAAATCGCTCTGAAGTAACAACGATGTTTGAATTTCGGTCTATTTTTTGAAGACACAATTCTGCAAAGTTAAAAGTTTCATGCCAGATACTAGTTCTTTTTGTTGGGTCAAGGTAAAGTCACAACGAACAACTGCGTCTATAGGGGACGTCCAAAGTGTTTATGGCTCGCTTAAACGGAAATATTCGAGCAGGATTAGGAGGTAGTGCAAGTAGACTTCTTGAGAACTCTCTTCATTCGGTTGCGGGAAAGTAAGGCTTTGCTAAGTTTGCATTCTATATATGTGTTATATCAAATATACCGGTTTGAAGTTTATCAAGCGCTAAGCATAACAGATTCGCGGTGCGCGTAACAGATTTCGCGGTGTGCGTTAGTTAAAGATTTTGTTTAATGCCATTAGAGGCACCGTCCACCCTATTAGGGGTTTGAGCTTGCAGGATACGATAGTGGGACCTTTTATCAAGCCGATGCTCAGGTTGCGACGAAGAAGGTCGCTTCGGAAGCAAGAAAATCGCTCTGAAATAACGACGAGGCAAAGGACCCCTAGAGGGCACTGCCTCCTCCAGTACTGCCCTGCCATCCTTGCTCGCCCATCCAACCGCCGTTCAGAGAACCCGCCCCAACGGTTTACCGGGATGGGAACTGTCAGTGGCTTTGCGAAATCTCGACATATTTAAATTAGGGACTTGAAAAGCCCCTGGAGCAAACATAGAAGTTGTCGCGGCTCCGCGATGCGAGGCTTTTAGACGTAACGGCTAATGCATGACGAAGGCGCAGTGGCGATATTAGCTGAGCGGGCGCGAACACGACGCGGGCGTGTCGCCGCCGTTGTAGATCCCGCACCTCGTGTGTTCTGCGGCTAATAAAGCCGCACTCGCGCCAGAAGATATTGTGCCTTCGTTATGCAGTAGCCTATAAGAGGCAGGGAGCACTGGTTGCTGCCGCGCTATTCGGCGACGTTTACGGTACTTCCTCGTGCTTGCCGCAATCGCCTCCGGACTTCTCCCCGTTTTGGTGCGTTGCCAGTCAAAAGGCTATACATAGCAGCGGCGTCTCATTGCAGCGTCTGTTCGTCTTCCTTTTCAATATATAGTTTTTTCATATATTTTCTATCATGCTCGTGTCTGGCAGTTTAGCTCCCGCTTTTGATGTCACTCTCGCAGTGGCGGTGGCGGTCGAGCGTATCGGAATCTTTACTGGATTAGAACTTAATCGAGTTTGATATGGATTTGGGACGAGTCACCTTTGGGAACTGGAATTTAGGATGTTAAGTTCTTATGAACTTTGGGAGCGGAGAGGCAGTCGCGCCTGTCATCCGGCGATGCGCGGCGGATCTGTATAGGTGAAACTTCGGGAGCATAATCATGTTTGAAAGTTAGACGCGCACCATCGGTAACCCGTGTGGGGTATGTATTTTATACGTCTTTTAATACTTTGATTTAGTACTTATTTGCTTCTTTTCGTGTTATAAGGATAGACTATTAGTGACTTATTTTCTGTTTTTTACGCGCTAGGTTAAAGGGTAGGGTAGCGTCGTATATAATAAACGGGCTACATACAATCGTACTCGGGTAGCATCTAAGTGCTGCGGGCCCACCGAGCCGACACAAAAGTCGAGATTCTGGGTAGATGGTGCCTTGAAGAGAGCGGCCATAGGTTGCCGGCAACTGCGTTCGAGGCTGCCGGCAACCTATGGCCGACAGGTTGCCGGTCGTTGTAGGATCTATGATATACAGGGTGTCCAAAAAAGATATGCACACTGTTTGTTCGTCAATAACTGTCTTGCTTTCATGTCTTTTGCCAAGCTTGAGGTACCATTTTTTGAAGCGAGGTTCAACTTAGCTTTGCAGTATGGAGCGAATTATCGGTTGTTTTTCATTACTGTAAGGTTACGGTAGAAACTTTGAGGAGGATATTAAGCCATTGAAAGTGATTTGCCTTAGAACGAGAACCAAACAAGCCAAAAACTCTTGCACTGGCTTAACTAAAGTCGCTGATTTTAAATATGAAAACTGCATTTCAGTATAGGGCTTCTTTCATGAGTTATTTCAAATTTAAAATAACAACTGTTTTTCCAATGTTCGTCAGAAATGCGAATACGACATCAAGAAAGCTCAAAAAATTGATGGGAAGTTATGTAGCAAAATCAGCACGCCTGAAAATCTTGCTACACCAAAATTTCAGATTTTTTTTTGAAATTATTTCATCAAAAGGCCTAATCCACACTTACGATGTGTGCTGAAAGTTACCGTAATCATACAGTAATGAAGAAAGATTGGTGATTCGCTTCATGCTATAAATCTAACAGGGGAAGGATACTTGGATGCCGTAGCCATTCATAATGATTTGTATACCAAAAAATGCGCTTTTGAATGCTGGTTCGTAGACTGTCTTTCATATCTGCGAAACGATAATCTGAATGGAGTTATGATTTTTTTTTTCATTAAAAAATTGCGTTCCTGGGGAGGGTCAAAATCATCAATAAAAAATTTTCTTTCCTTTCCAAATGCTGAGTATGATCCAGATAGTCTAAATAAATATTACTACGACTAAAATTTTCTTCAGTAGCATCAAACGGTAGGCTAGATCAAATCTGGTGCTTTTTACTATCCAAAAGTAGGCTAAATTTTCAAGGAAAAAAATTCATAACTTTCTTCAAAAGACCGTTTCGCAGATTTCGAGCACAGATTCAGAATCTCCATTCGAAGGCGCATTTTTTGGTATACAAATCATTAGGAATGGCCGCGGCATCCTACTATCCTTCCCTTGTAAGTTGAATCCCTCTCTACAGAATGATACCTCAAACTCGGCAAAAGACATGAAAGCAAGAAAGTTATTAGCGATTAAACAGTGTGCATATCTTTTTGGGACGCTCTGTATGTTTGGCGTCTCCCTAACTTGCTCCTGAACGCAACGTCGGCAACCTCGGCAACTCCGGCAATCTTGGCACTTCAGAAATAATTGCCGGCAACCTTATGGCCGTTCCCTACGAGTGAATGCTTACGACGAGATGCCCGAATCATTCTATGGCGAATTTGTAGGGTTTAGTATTTATCTTAAATTGCTTTTGAAAAACATTGTTGTGATTTGATTTATCAACCATAATGCAAAGGATTTGATGGAATCGAAGAACAGAAAAAAAACAGAATAAAACAGAAAAAAAACAAAAAACAAAACAGAACAGAATAATTAGAAATTAGGAAGAATAGACTGTAATTCCCTTCGCTAACGGTCCATGAAAACTCTAGCAGCGCAACAGCTTTTTTCAAAAGTGCCTTGTGCTGTGCTTGATTTTATGTTTCTCTAGCTATGTGGAGCAGCTGTGTTATCAGAGCACACTCGGGCGTGGCTCGAAAATGAGGCTGAACATACCGTAAGTGTCAAGGGTAGCTGATCATTGAACGAAAGTGCACGATTTCGTAATACCTTCTTGATATTAGAATAATGCAAGACAAACGCATGAGTAGAATTATTTTTATTCTATGATTTGCATGTGCTTGTCTACCGTAATATTTAGATAGTTTTAACCTACATTTATTTTTACCTCGTAGGCAGTTTTAAATAGAGACGTTTACCTTTATGGTTGACAACCTAATGCGATGAGCATGTGCACTATGTGCAGAACAATGTTATCATGTACTGATGAACGCGTAACCCTCAGTGCACATACTTAACAGTCCAGTTTTTATATTACGGATATACTTATGCATTCAGGCCTTGATGTCCGCAGCGCCACACGCTACAGCTCACATTTATAGCAAGTATGATTTTACAAAGCCCTGCCAAAAATGTGCACTACAGAATGAACACACAGCCCGAAAAATTGATCGAAGTAAGTTTGAAGAAGTCTCTTGCATTTTACTAAACTAACATTTCTCTTATTTAGACAGTCGATGGATATTTCCAACAACGTTTTTGATATTTTGTATCTCCTACTGGGTATACTTCACTTACCGAAGCACATAACATCATACTGCAAAATATTGCAAAAGCAAGTAATTGTTGTATATCTTCCTCAGTTGTTTGATTGATAATGTACAGGTAATGCGAGAGTGTAAATAAAGTACTTCAGATATTTGCACAAAACATATATAGGTTGAGCGGATGTACCATGTATATCTCACTTTCACAAAACCTGAAAAAACATAGACTTGATTGTCAAAAAGCTAACGCAATTGATTGCTATACTCCTGTGCAGTAGTTGCTTACGATCTCTTTTCCTGATAGACCCAGCGTGCTTTACTCAAACCAGGGCTCGGCACGAGGTGGCTAGTTGAGAATGCAAAAAAAACGAAGTCCGCTTTGATTTTTGCGAAATTTTACGAAGTCCTCCTTGAGTCCCGTCCGAAGTTCCGCATATAGAGATAAATAGAAAAAAAAGAAGAAGTGCATTGCAGCAAGTACCATCTGCCATACCAGTATATCTTTGAAGAATCAAAAATTAATAGCAGTATGTGAAAAGTACCGAGATAAAAACATCTCACCTGATAGTGATTCTCTCAATTAAATATACGGCCACACACCCACAAAGGAGTGTTACCGCAGGCTTCAAGACGTGGTGATACGTGAAGTCGCAGTTGGCTAACCTTGTAAGCCATTGTTTTCTGGAAAACCATTACATTTTTCAAAATAGGGCGACCTTATGGATAGTAACCTCACTTTCTGCGCGGATAGAACAAATTTGGCTTCGCAGATGCAACCATCACTTCGATGGGCTCGTCAGCCGTTTGTCCACCCCTTTGAGTCGACGGAGTGAAGGAGCCGACGGCCTGATAACAAGGACTTACGATCATGAACGCAGAGAACATAGCGGTTTAGCAACCAAGCAAAAACAACGGAAGAAATAGAGCATATTTGCAGCCAGCAAATTACCTGGATTTGGAGCTGTCTCAAACATTGGTGATGGATCGCCTGCGGGATGATTGAAAGCGAAAGAGTCATTGCCTCTCCGGAGTCTCTGTTGTTGATGATCAGCTTGCTCAGCTTTGAAAGAATCTTCAAGGCCTCAGGCAGAGTTTGACGATGAATCGCGACGATTTCATGGTATAGTATAATTAGTATAATCCGCAAAAAAACATCACATCCACCGATAATGTTGAGAACGATGTATGAGGTCTTTGCACACGCTACCCAAACGACGAACACAGAAATGAAACTGGCATCACAATTAGACAGAACGGAATACTGTACACGACTGCTGTCCAGTAGCCGGCCCGCGTCGAACGCGCTCATACACCGTTATTGAGGCAATATCCAGTCGATCATCACAATGGAGCCCGATCGGTAAAGTTAACGCGAGGTCGCAATGAAACACCACAATCGCGTGAACACCCCGAGGCTTAAGAATAAAGGTGATTATCAGTCAGTCGAAATTATCACCCGCAACATAAACAACAAAAAGGCTACAGTCGAGAGTGGAAAGAAGAAATGGCTTACTTAGATGTGTAACATGACTGAGCATAATTTGTGATATAAAACTACTCGTTTCCTCATCGCGACTAATTCCCTGTCCATCGAGCAACTTTGTCGCGCACACAAACGGTGAAAAATTTGCGATGCCTTTAGCAACTATCGCAATTAAGTGCATCAAGACGCATCGCACTGCAACCGAAAAACTCGGAGGTGCGGCTGTTCTGCAATGAAAAAAAATCAAAGCTAATCACAAAATATCAGAAAATCATAACTGATTAATGCTTTCTTTCTAGGTAGATCATGAAAGCAAATGACTATCTGACAACAAGTATTTTAAGCTTACGATCCCTTTTATGATCAATCGCTATGCATTGCAAAACAGAGAAGTAACTAGCTCTCTCGCGGAGCTGAACTAGACCCGTTAGGGTAGTGTTGATCATGTTGCCCATTATGCGAAGGATCAGTGAGAGCAAAATAGCAAGCAAAAGAACAAGCAGAGCAAGCAAAATACAAGGGAATGTTTTGAAGGGTGTGCTTTGGCGGCGCGTTGTCGCCAGCGCACTATTGTGCGCTGGGGCAGACTGTAAAATTGCTTCACAGATCTTAGAGGACCTATAACTGAAGGAGAGGAGGGGTTTAAAGCGATTCAGGATTGTACGGATAGGTAAGGAGATGAAAAATATAACTATGAAAAAAGTTTGTAAAACATATGTGAGAGGAAAAAAATATAAGACTTTTTCTTTCCTAAGCCAACTCAGGTGGCTATCGAGGTGACTTGAAAGCCAGCCACCTAATCTCGAAAAAAGTTTGCCATGTTCCCATTTCACATAAGTTTTTCACAAATTTTCATACATAGTTGCAAGTCCCCATTGTCCATCTACTCACCAGTTTTGGTGCGCAGGCAGAGAGTGAGATCGGTACTGCAATGTCGAAAATATAAGACATTTTCTTTCCTTCTTTCCTAAGTCATAAAGGACTTGTCAGGTCTCCAGAAGATGATGAAGTGTATAAGAGGGGGGGGGGGAGGTTCCCACCTGCACGAGGGGACTGGATCTGTGTGCCAATACATACATTTTTTTCCGGGGCTCTGCCCCCCCCCCTCCCCCAAAAAAAACAAAACCCCCTATTCCTTTTTTCTCAAAAACGATATCCAGCTTGCTTGGCAGTTGTGTCGCCCTGATTCAAACTCAGCCAGGTCGTATATCGTGGAGGGTGGAAGAACGAATACCGGCGATGAGGACCGCCTTCGCAGGATATTGGTGTTTACACTCATCTGATCACACTCAAAAATGGAAGTTGGCGTAGGTGGCATATATTGGCGGCTTCATTACTTTACCATATCGACTTATCTTTGTTCATAGCCACGTTGGAAAGTGAAGTAAATGATTTATTAGGGTAAACGGTAAGAAGGCGGCACTTACAAAATAATTGTAGGTTTCTCAAGAAAGAGAAGTGATTAGACTTTTCAATTTTGACAGATCTTAGAATATGTTATTCTCTGTCAGATAATGCCTATATAAGGTTATTAACATACCTAAAAAATTTTATATTTGGTGAAATGCAAAGTTAAACACTTCGACAAATCATGATCTTCGAGCAGTATTTGCGCAGTGAAACATGAGAGGCCACCCAATGTACCACTGCTAAAATGAATTGTGGGACAGTTATCAAACCCGCGATGGCTTGCTTGGTGGCCAGCGCCCAAAATCAGGAGATATGGCCATCATTTCGGGCGCTTTGCGAAAAGTGTAAAGAAAGGGTTACTCAATTCTTTGCAAGTGAACGCATGGTTTTAGATACCAACTGATAAAGCTTTTTACGCTCAATCTATCAATATGCAGATCACTTCAAATTTCATCTATCTTCAGAAAATATAGGGTGAAAAATGATTTTATGGCTTTTAATTGCGCCAAAAAATCGCCATTTTCCAAGTTTCTTCGGTTTTTTTCTGAAATTTAACAGAAATCTCATATTTCAACATATCGTTCGAAAGAGCATGAAAAGCTCTTTCGAATTGTGACTCATTTTCTCTATGACTTTGCGGCATAGCAGCGCAGGATTGAGAGATGTTCGAAAAACCCTGCGCGATTTCTTCGCGGCTCCACGCATAAGGTTCTTATAGGGGAGCGGTGACACCGTTGCCAGAGTAGTTGGCGAAGGTTAGTGATATAAACGTCGTTCGAGTTGCAGCCTACTTGTTGTTGGTGGAAACAAAAATTCTCAAAATGAATAAAAATCAAGCTGCCCCATTTTTTACCGTTCAGCCTAATATAACTATCAAGTCATTCATATAAAGAAAGTTTCCTCCAGCATTGAGTAGCAATCTTCCTTCAAATGCTCATAATGCTTTCAACATGTTTGTGCGTACTGAAATTCTCTACGCAAAACTTAAAAGACATTCTGATAAGTTTCTCTGAAGCAGAAGAACTTTACGTGTTTGCAAAAGATATGTTTAATCGTCCTAAGTTCTGCTGCCGACAAGTAGCGAATAGTAGGATTTTTTGTACTAACGAAGACTAGGATCATTTCTTGTTGAGCGACAAAAAAGTCAGGCTGATGCCTTTTAGTGGAGGAAAGAGAAATATAAGAAGTTGCGTCAACGGTCAGAAAACATAGTCAGTCCGGGTTGGTTTCAACGCTACGAAAGCACCAGCGTACAATGGTTGGCGCGGGTATTACGATAGTATAGGCTATGAGAATTGATTATTCTACACCCCTCTTTCAGATTTTGGTTTTGCAATAACAGACAGATTGTGCGAGCGCAAAGGCGCACTATCCGTCTGTTATTGCGCACAATCTATTACAAAAAGCGCAAATTCTGCAGATATCCGGTTTACGAAATCACATAACTTTTCAGCATGAAGTAGGTTCCTACCTGATAAAACTTTGCATTGAAGAGTAGATGTTATATACAGCATTTCCGTAATTGGTCGAAATGCGTACATGGTAGAAGGCCAATTCTTACAGTTTGTTCATGAGTTGGGGCTAATTTGTAATGCAAAGATTGAAATCGAGGGAAACATCTGCCTTGCTCTTTGCTGGAAAATGGGTTGTGTCCGCATAAGTTTATTTGAGACTAGCTGGCCTTTCCGGTCCGCCTGGACCGGGACCCTATTCGGCCACGCCTAGGGCCAATGTCTATCAAATCGTGCACTTAGTGACTGTAAATTGACTCCAAGTGAGCGCATACCCTCAATGTCCAATCCTGTCCAATAGCCGCGTCCTCCTCACTGGAATGAAAATGAGGTTTACTCTCATTGTTTTCCCCAAATGCAAGCAAAATAAAGTTTTATAAGACTTCATTTTCAAAACTGCTCAAAATCATTAAATCGATAAAAGTACTGAGAGAATCGCCGAAAAAAATAGCCTATCGTGTGTTCAGGGGTTGAAAACATATGTGTGCAGAATTTGGCGCTTCTTCGTTCACTGGCAAGGATTTCTATTCGACACATACTTCACGCAAACATAAAGGCTGCTGCATGACAAAGACGCAATGCCTTTGGGAGCGAACGCGGCTTTATTATCCGCAGAGCGCATAAGGCTCAGGATTTACAACGGTAAAGA